CTGTGCATGGTCTAACACGGCTTATTCTCCTAATGAGTTCTGGGTGTGTTTTGAACAAAACCTGCATTTAGCTGATCAGAGTCTCATCTCCCATTCCCTTTAAGAGTCAGTTGCTTCACGCCATGGTGCATTTGCAATTTACATGGCAAACTTTGTAAGTGTAAAAACTGAACGCTTCACTAGCAAGAAAACAGTTAAACAAAGCATCTGCAGCGCGAGGATAAAGAACAAGCCTCCTCCATTCAGCCTCTTTACTTTCTCTTTACTTTACTTTCACTCATTACTTTACTCCTTTACTTTCAACCCAAGCTCATTCTGGAAACGTAGCCCCGTGGACGTTTCTGGAGACCGCGATTTACGTGGCCGGAGGTACGTAAAGGCCGCGTTTGGTTTTTTTCGAGCGAACGCTGCGGGGCGGTGTGGCGCCGCTCTGCCCCTCCTCTTCGCGCTCGCCGGCCGACGGCTTGCCTCCGAGTGGAGGGCTTTCCTGATGCAATCAGTTTGTCCGCTTAGCTCACAGCGTTGCGTCGGCGGAGCAGAGGCCCTGGAGGAGGAGACGGCCGCGGTGGTCCACGAACGGGATCGAGTCGGGGAACAGCAGGTTCCGGAAATCAGGTAAGACGAAAAACGGAATCCGAAAAATAAGGGCGAGAATGCGGTAGGATCCGAAAACGCGGTCGAAACGAGGGCTTTTGCTTTTTTTTTTTCCGATCCGGCGGCTTTTCGCGCGAGAATGGCGCGGGCGCGAACGCCACGCGCTCCCGAGAGGCGCCCGAGACGCGAAAAAGCACGCACAGCGGCCTCTTGCGGATCCGCGAAAACAAAAAACGCTTGAATACGTACCTCCCGGGACGTAAATCGCGGTCCGCTGAAACGTCCGCGGGGCTACGTTTCCACAATGAGCCTGGGTTGTTTACTTTGGTGGAGTAAGGAAACGGTGGAAACTCCCTCCACTGAACACATCCATTAACCCACATATTCACATTCCTTTAAGCGCAAAGATTTGCTTCAAAACTATTTTTAAATTCAGTTCTAATCTCCAGCAAAGGAATAAATGAACAATAGGCCCACACGGAATCTGTGCGCGCAGAAATCTGCAAGTTTTTAGCTCATCATTGAGTCTGTTTATTTACTTGTGTAAATGTGTGTACATTTATATTCATTCAATTTTTAAAATTAATTTCTGTAATAATATCGACTAATATAAAATTGCTTGTTTAAGCTATTTAAAATACAGTTTGTAAAGAAATATTTTCTGTCTTTTAGTAAAGATATTATATGAGAGCATATTGTAAACATTAAATAGCAGTTAAAAAGTTATTATTTTTAATTTCATATATTAAGTTTTTAGTTATAACACTCCCAAAATAATTCCACAGAAATCCGCAGATTTTTTTTTTATTTTTATTTTTTTACAAAATTCTAAGCAGAAATAGCAAAAAATGTCTGCAGATTCTGTCTGGCCCTAGTTATATCCAAACACTTGTCCTGCTCTTATGCTCTTATGGTGATGCAGACGTCTCCAAAACCCCACAGCTGGAAAATCTAAACTTGTGTTTATTAAAACAAATATAAATCTGCAGATAATCAATAATACTGCTAATAATAATCACATTATACAGATGCAGATTGTCATGAATAAACTGTAAAAGCCCCCCGAGGTAAAGAAGGCATGGAGGCAGTGCTGTTTATATTGATGTAGAAAATCATCATTTCTGGATCATTTTAATCCTTTAATTGTTTTCATCTGTAAAGATATTTGTGTATTGCTGAACATCCTGTGTGTATTCAGCAGTGTGTAAGCGTTTGGACTTGCATAGGCTCATAACGAACACAGTAACTAAAAAACAGCACGTGCTCTGCGCTGGACTTTGTGTTTAACAAAAGAAAGAAAGTCAAACAAATTTGGAACAAGTGAAGGGAGAGCAAATGATGACAGAATTTGAACTTGGTGTACTGTCCCTTTAAGGTGACCCGCAGCCCAGGGACACTGGAAATTGAATCAGACTTCCTTCCTGTGAGTCCAGCAGCATTTGGTCTTTCTGAGAACTCGGCCTTTCTGACACACTGATGCACTGCGGCATTATGGGAAACAGCACTTACACTGCGGTGAGATCCTTACTCATCAACATCCGCCTTCTCATCTATACGTCTGTCCATCCATCCATCCGTTTATTCACTCATACAATTATCAAGAATCAATCATCTATCCATTTGAATCAATCCATCTATTCAGCAGCCTCCTCAGTTATCAGTTTATCTCTCCATCAGTTATCTATCTATCTATCTATCTATCTATCTATCTATCTATCTATCTATCTATCTATCTATCTATCTATCTATCTATCTATCTATCTATCTATCTATCTATCTATCTATCTATCTATCCATCTATCTATCTATCTATCTATCTATCTATCTATATCCATTCATCACACTTCATTTATTAAATTATCTATCCATTAATTTTTCCATTTCAATCTATCAATCTATCCACTGATCTTCATTTATCAATGTATCTATCCATCAATCCACCTACTCATACTCCATCCATCCATTTACAGATCAGATTGTCTATTACCTATCAGTTTATCCATCCATTCATCCATCCATCCATCCCTCTATCCATCTATCCCTCCATCCATTAATTTACTGGTCAGTTTGTCCATCATCCATCCATCTATTCATCCATCCACCCATCTGTTTACCTATCAGTTTATCCATCCATCCATCCCTCTATCCATCCATCCCTCCATCCATCCATTTACTGGTCAGTTTGTCCATCATCCATCCATCTATTCATCCATCCACCCATCTGTTTACCTATCAGTTTATCCATCCATCCATCCACCCCTCCATCCCTCCATCCATCCATCCATCCATCCATCCATTTACTTGTCAGTTTGTCCATCATCCATTCATCTATTCATCCATCCACCCATCTGTTTACCTATCAGTTTATCCATCCATCCATCCATCCATCCATCCATCCATCCATTTACTGGTCAGTTTGTCCATCATCCATCTATACTTCCATCCATCCATCTGTTTACCTATCAGTTTATCCATCCATCCATCCATCCATCCGTCCATCCATCCATATGTTTACCCATCTATCCATTTACCGATCAGTTTATCCATCTATTCATTTATTTACTGATCAGTTTGTCAATCATCCATCTATCCATCCATTCATCCATTTACACATCAGTTTATCCATCCATCCATCCATCCATCCACTCATCAGTTTATCCATCCATCCATCCATCCATCCATCCATCCACTCATTAGTTTATACATCCATCCATTCATCCGTTTACCCATCGTTTTATGCATCCATCCATCCATCTACAGATCAGTGTATCCATCAGTTCATTAAATCGTTTATCTTTCATTTTATCTATCCATCCATCTATTTACCTCTGTTTATCCATCCATTTACTGATCAGTTTGTCCATCATCTATCCATCTATCCAGCAATCCATCCATCCATTTACCCATCAGTTTATTAAATCATTTACCTATCAGTTAATCCATCCATTCATCAATCCATCCAACCATTCATCCATCCATTTATCAATCAGTTTATTAAATTGTTTACCTATCAGTTTATCCATCCATTCATCCATTTACTGATCAGTTTGTCCATCATCTATCCATCCATCCATTTACCCATCAGTTTATTAAATGCTTTACCTATCAGTTTATCCATTCATCCATCCATCCATCCATCCATCCATCCATTCCTCCATTTACCCATCAGTTCATTAAATCGTTTACCTATCAGTTTTTCCATAAATCCATCCATCCATCCATATGTTTACCCATCTATCCATTTACTGATCAGTTTATCCATCCATTCATTTATTTACTGATCAGTTTGTCAATCATCCATCCATCCATCCATCCATCCATCCATCCATTCATCCATCCATCCATCCATCCATCCATCCATCCATCCACACATCAGTTTATCCATCCATCCATCCATCCATCCATCCATCCAATCATTAGTTTATACATCCATCCATTCATCCGTTTACCCATCATTTTATGCATCCATCAATCCATCCACAGATCAGTGTATCCATCAGTTCATTAAATCGTTTATCTTTCATTTCATCTATCCATCCATCTATTTACCTCTCAGTTTATCCATCCATTTACTGATCAGTTTGTCCATCATCTATCCATCTATCCAGCCATCCATCCATCCATTTACCCATCAGTTTATTAAATCGTTTACCTATCAGTTTATCCATCCATTCATCCATTTACTGATCAGTTTGTCCATCATCTATCCATCCATCCATTTACCCATCAGTTTATGAAATGGTTTACCTATCAGTTTATCCATTCATCCATCCATCCATTCATCCATCCATTCGTTCATTTACCCATCAGTTCATTAAATCTTTACCTATCAGTTTATCCATCCATCCATCCATCCATCAATCCATCCCTTCGTCTATTTACCCATCATTTACCAATCCATCAATCTATCCACTGATCTTCATTTATCAATGTATCTATCCATCAATCCACCGACTCATACTCCATCAGTTTATCCACCAATCCATCCATTTACTGATTAGTTTATCCATCATCCAATCATCCATTTACCCACCAGTTTATCCACCCATTTACCCATCAATTTATTAAATCATTAACCTATCAGTTTATCTACCCATCCATTCCTCCATTTACCCATCAGTTTATCCATCCATCCATCCATCCATCCATCCATCCATCCATCCCTCTGTTTACCCATCAGTTTATCCACCCATCCATCCATTTACTGATCAGTTTATCATCCGTTTTCCCACCATTTTATTCACACATCTGTTTACTCATCAGTTTATCCATTAATCCATCCTTTTACTAATCAGTTTATTTATCATCCATTTACCCATAAGTTTATCCATCCGTTTACCTGTCAGTTCATCCATCCAATTCTCCATCTCCGCTCTCAGCTTTATTCAATAGTGAAATAAACTTACGTAGTCATGAAATGCCTTGGCTTCACTGGAATGCTCGCAGTTTTCTCTCCGCTCAGGTGCCGCACAATACAAATCCCAGAATACACTGCAAAATACACAGAGATAAACGAATGAATGAATGAATGAAGCAGCGGTTAACAGCACATGAGGAACATTTAACGACAGAGTCTTACCACCACCATGAATGTAGAAATCCAGGAGGTTCTCCTAACGTTATGTTCTTCTCCCATCTTATCTGGACACAGAGAAGAGAAAACCACAGACATGTATCTAGTGTAAACTTGAATGTCTTGTGTAGTCAGTCAGGCTAATGAATTGGTCTATATTTGGCTTGTACTGTTTTATTGTGATGCCAATATTGTGATTCCCCTTTGTGTTGGTTCCAAAATCAATGGTTATTCATTCATTCATTTCTCTTTGACTTATTTATCAGGGGTTGCCACAGTGGAATGAACCACCAATTATTCCAGCATATGTTTTACACAGCAGATGCCCTTCCAGCTGCAACCCAGAACTCATTCACGCACACTCTCATACACTACAGCCAATAAGATTTTCCAATTTACCTTTAGTGCATGTGTTTGGAAACCCACGCCAACACGGGGAGCACATGCAGATTCCACACAGAAATGCCAACTGACCCAGCTGGGACAAGAACCAGCAACCTTCTTGCTGTGAGGCAACTGTGCTAACCACTGAGCCACTGTATCGCCCTTGTATTGATATTATTAGAATTTAAAATAGCTATTTGTATGGGAATATGTTTACAATTTAATGCAGAAATCATTTAAAGCAGTCTTTATTTTCATATGAGCTACCACAAATCTTTTAAAAATGTTTGTAAAAAACAAAACTGTTATTACTTTATTATTACTATATTATTATTAATATATTAATGTTTTAGTTAAAACTGTGATTTTTATTAAATGGCTCATTATATAAAAATTCTAATATTTAAATTTTTCATCATAATTAATGTCACTTTCAATAAATTCAGTATATTTATCAGTCTATTCAGACATTTCACATTATTTGTTTTCCATTCAAAGGGATAGTTGACCCAAAAATGAACACTCTGTCATAATTTTCTTTCCCTTTATGAGCTTCTTTCTTCTTTTAAAGTTTTAAGGTACTTTGAATATGTTGAAAACCTGTAACCATTGTAGTTTCATTGTAATTGTTCAACTCAGGCTCATTCTGAAAACGTAGCCCTATTAACATTTCTGGAGAGTGCCAAATGCGTCCCAGGAGCTGCGTTTTTATTTTTTTTCAGTTTTAGTTTTTGCGAATGCACCAGAGGCCGCTGTGTACGCTTTTTCCAGTGCTCAAATTTCTCTCATGTAAATACACCAGAGGCCGCGGTTGACTGACTAACTGACCGACTGATTTCCCCATCAATCTACTTCCCTAAACCAAACCAACAGTGTTTTCAAAAGCACCGACTGACCCGATCGCCCCCTTCCCTAAACCAAACCAACAGTGTTTTCAAAAGCACCGACTGACCCGATCGCCCCTTCCCTAAACCAAACCAACAGTGTTTTCAAAAGCACCGATTGACCCGATCGCCCCCTTCCCTAAACCCAACCGATAGTGTTTTCAAAAGCACTGATTGACCCGATCGCCCCTTCCCTAAACCAAACCAACAGTGTTTTCAAAAGCACCGATTGACCCGATCGCCCCCTTCCCTAAACCCAACCGATAGTGTTTTCAAAAGCACTGATTGACCCGATCGCCCCTTCCCTAAACCAAACCAACAGTGTTTTCAAAAGCACCGACTGACCCGATCACCCCCTTCCCCTAACCAAACCAACAGTGTTTTCAAAAGCACAGATTGACCCGATCGCCCCCTTCCCTAAACCAAACCAACAGTGTTTTCAAAAGCACCGACTGACCCGATCGCCCCCTTCCCTAAACCAAACCAACAGTGTTTTCAAAAGCACCGATTGACCCGATCGCCCCCTTCTCTAAACCCAACCGATAGTGTTTTCAAAAGCACCGATTGACCCGATCGCCCCCTTCCCTAAACCCAACCGATAGTGTTTTCAAAAGCACCGACTGACCCGATCGCCCCCTTCCCTAAACCCAACCGATAGTGTTTTCAAAAGCACCGATTGACCCGATCGCCCCCTTCCCTAAACCCAACCGATAGTGTTTTCAAAAGCACAGATTGACCCGATCGCCCCCTTCCCTAAACCAAACCAACAGTGTTTTCAAAAGCACCGACTGACCCGATCACCCCCTTCCCTTAACCAAACCAACAGTGTTTTCAAAAGCACCGATTGACCCGATCGCCCCCTTCCCTAAACCCAACCGATAGTGTTTTCAAAAGCACCGACTGACCCGATCGCCCCTTCCCTAAACCAAACCAACAGTGTTTTCAAAAGCACTGATTGACCCGATCGCCCCCTTCCCCTAACCAAACCGATAGTGTTTTCAAAAGCACCGACTGACCCGAAAAAAGAAAAGCCCTCACCTGATTTTTACCATGTTTTTAGATTTTACCACATTTAAACCCTGTTATTTACTGGTTTATTTTATTTTTTGGCTTTTGTTTTTGTCTTACCTGCTTTCTGGGTCCATTCTTTATCAGACTTAAATCCCATTGTCATGGTCAACTCCTCTCTGCATCTCAAGTCCACTGACATTGGCGGCGAGCCACTGGATACAGTAGTAACACTGGATAAAGTCGTCCATAAGGAGGTAATTGGTCATCTGGTAGCACTAAAAAGAATGGCATCATACCGCCCCCGTAGCGTTCATTTTAAAGATGAAATGCAGCCATAAGTACTTCTGGCTACATAATTCACAATCTCCAGAAATGTATAAAGCGCTACGCTTTCAGAATTGGCCTATATTGGATTTGTTTTTCCTCCTGTGGAAGTCGATGGATCTTCTTTTCTGTTCAACAGGAATAAGTAACTGGTTTGGAAACACTTGAGAGTGACTTATTTCAGGGTGAACTATCCCTTAAAACTACACCACAACAGCTGCCGTTTTGTTTTCTCTATTTAACACACATTTCAAAGTATCTCTCTTTAAACAGTCCAGTCTGAGACGAGTTAACCTTGCGAATCTGAATGACTACTGAAGCCTGTCGCTCTTATGATCAGCATTGCTCTGGAATTAGAGCAACAATCAGAACTGATAAATGTGTATTATTGTGTTTCTCAGAAGGGCTCGTACTCTTAAGTGAGCATGACTCATATGCAAATAACACACAGACTAAAAATATCAAAGCGGTGCTTCAAAATGTCACGCTTTCCTTCATACAGATCAATCCCACAATGCCTCAGCCAGATTAAACAAACTCATTCAGGCATAAACGATTCAGTTTTTTCTTAAAAGCATTGCATCACTAATAAAACCCTCAAGAGCAGCTGATTAAAACAAAGCAAACATGTGCTTTTCCTAAAAAAACTCTATTCAAGTTTATTTGTGTGGCACTTTTCATAATATTTATAGGTCCAGAGCTGCTTTGCAAAAGATGTGCATTATAATTATTCATTCATTTTCCTTTGGCTTAATCCCTTATTTAGCAGGGGCCGCCTAACCGCCGACTATTCCAGCATATGTTTTACACAGCGGACACCCTTTCAGTTGCAACCCAGTGCTGGAAAACACCCATAGTGCATACTTCATCAGCTGTTTCTGTCAGCTTTGTGTTTTTGACTGTTTGGCACCATCTTGTGTCTGAATAATGCTTGGGTTAGTGTATACTCCATCAGCTGTTTTAGTTTCTGTCAGCTTTGCGTTTCTGATTATTTGGTGCCATCTTGTGTCTAAATAATGCGCAGGTTAGTGTATACTCCATCAGCTGTTTTCATCTGTCAGCTTTGTGTTTTTGACTGATTGGCGCCATCTTGTGTCTAAATAATGCGCAGGTTAGTGTATACTCCATCAGCTGTTTTCATTTGTCAGCTTTGTGTTTTTGACTGATTGGCGCCATCTTGTGTCTAAATAATGCGCAGGTTAGTGTATACTCCATCAGCTGTTTTCATTTGTCAGCTTTGTGTTTTTGACTGATTGGCGCCATCTTGTGTCTGAATAATGCGCAGGTTAGTGTATACTCCATCAGCTGTTTTAGTTTCTGTCAGCTTTGCGTTTCTGACTGTTTGTCTCCATCTTTTGTCTGAATAATGCGCAGGTTAGTGTATACTCCATCAGCTGTTTTAGTTTCTGTCAGCTTTGCGTTTCTGATTATTTGGTGCTATCTTGTGTCTGAATAATGCACAGGTTAGTGTATACTCCATCAGCTGTTTTCATCTGTCAGCTTTGTGTTTTTGACTGTTTGGCGCCATCTTGTGTCTGAATAATGCGCAGGTTAGTGTATACTCCATCAGCTGTTTTAGTTTCTGTCAGCTTTGCGTTTCTGACTGTTTGTCTCCATCTTTTGTCTGAATAATGCGCAGGTTAGTGTATACTCCATCAGCTGTTTTCGTCTGTCAGCTTTGTGTTTTTGACTGTTTGGCGCCATCTTGTGTCTGAATAATGCTTGGGTTAGTGTATACTCCATCAGCTGTTTTCGTCTGTCAGCTTTGTGTTTTTGACTGTTTGGCGCCATCTTGTGTCTGAATAATGCTTGGGTTAGTGTATACTCCATCAGCTGTTTTAGTTTCTGTCAGCTTTGCGTTTCTGACTATTTGACGCCATCTTGTGTCTGAATAATGCACAGGTTAGTGTATACTCCATCAGCTGCTTTCGTCTGTCAGTTTTGTGTTTTTGACTGTTTGGCGCCATCTTGTGTCTGAATAATGCACAGGTTCGTGTATACTCCATCAGCTGTTTTAGATTCTGCCAGCTTTTTGTTTAATTAACGAATAAATAAACTATTATGGCTCAGAACAATGTTTGTGTCTATTTTATATTTTATGGCAAGTAGCCATGTAATAAGTGGAATAAAGTACGTCCAGGATGGTTGTTTCCACAGAATAAAACCCTTTAGTTTTGTACAACAGTGCTGCGCTTTGCGTTGGAATGCCAATAATCCTGTCGGGTTTTATTCTGCAAAAGCATTCCTTTTTAAAAAGGGACATCTTTGCGTATAATACATTTTTAATCAAGCGTATTTTTTATAAAAGGGACTAATCAACATGCTAGCGGTGCTCCAGCGTTTCCGCTGAAACAATTTTGGTGGTTTTTCCAGCGATGCACTGACTCTCCTGCAATCCCATTAAGTGGACACCAAACATCTAATGTGTCCTGCTTGCTCAGCATATCATCTGCGTGTAATTAAATTAGCCGGAGCCCCAGGAGGCCGGCCGGTGCTTACAGGCCTGTGTGTCTGGATGGCACATCGATAAGCAGAAGCTTAAATAAACCCCCCGCTGGCTCACCTCTGACAGGAAGGTCTGTGCCGACTTCTGGGCTCCTACATGTAACAAGTACTCGTATACGTAGAGCGCTAGCCTGCAAAACACACACAGAAAGAGAAAGAGATGTTAAATTTCATTAAATCAGACAGGATTACACACTATGGAGGCTTTTTAGATGCTTGATTTTGATTGGCTGATGAGCATTCTAAGGTGTGTCGTTATTCTCAGATCAACACTCAGCTAAAAGTAGTTCCGGCAGGTTTTGAGCGCATTACAGCTCACTGCGCTGAGTGATTTGAGTTACGTCAAAAATCACATCAAGACACAACAGAATGCTTTGGATGAGACGCAGAAGAAACTAGACCTACACATAGAAGCAGATTGATGACAAAACCTGACAAATAAAGTCTCATATACAACTTATAAACAGTAGGGGGGTAATGGATCACGGTTCGGAACACACATGGCACGCGGAGGATTTTTACTTTAAAATTAATCCTAAATTTGTAACGATTACAGAGAGGGATCGCCTCTCGCATGTCATTCAAATCACATGTATGAAAACATTTAGGCTTTCCTGTAAAATATAATGATGACAGAAGAAGTTGTGGTGGGTTTTTCAGGATGTGGTGGGTTTCTCAGGTTATTAAAGGTGTTTTCTGTCACTACTTGTTTAACCTCCATTAAAGCATTCAGTGTAAGCTGCACGATTAATCATTAAAAGATCGGGATCTCAACACCCACGCAACATCAATTATAAATGATGGTGATTTGCATGTTTATTAATCCTTCCAATCGCTGCATTTAAATCTGAAAAAATAAAAATCAAGAAAGAGATTCAGTCTTTAGTTTACAGGTAAATAATACAGAAGTACTGGGAGAACAGTTTATAGTTTAGATGAAACCCCTGATGTTTATGTTAAAGATTAAAATCCCCGTCATTTGCATTTAAAAGTGCAGTAGGTGATTGTCTTCAGAAACATGTTTTGTTGTGCTGGTTGAAAGTCTCTTCACAGTCCAATAGTAATGATGACAGTAAATGATCTAAATGTGTTTATATGTATTTTTATATTCAGGTTAAAGCATGAAACTAAAAAACGTTCATCCAATCAAATAGAGTCGGACCGTCATCTCCCTTAATTCCGATAGGCAGGCCAGACTGTCTGTCAGCATATGTAGATTCGGACTTCTGCGCATGTGTTCACGCAGATCCGCCATTAGCGCGTGCCCGTCTGCATCACAAACGCATGCGCGTAACCGAGCTGCAGGCTGCTCGCAGATGCCGAGTCGGAGCCAGAGGCGCCGAAGGACAGACGAGCTCGGGCCGATTACTGTAAAGCCAGGCGCGGGTATAATTCGCCCTTAAAGCAGCCGCGCGGTCACGAGACGGAGCAGGAGAAATCAAATGCTGCATTGAAACTTTTGAAAATCCTGAATCTGTATTGGAGTTACTTTAGCACGCTGGAGAAAGGACGACACCATGGCTGAAGTATTACTGTTAGACAGGTCATGTTCTGTGTTAAAACTGCTTTAGTCAGGCTAAGCTTATGTTAGATTGTGTTTTGTTATGAATAACTTATATGCACAGACGTGTTGTTCATAAAATAAATTCACCTTCACGTATAAATTGTCCTTAGTTTTTAGGACAATTTATTAAGACTAAACCATTTAGACACTTTCTCAATTTGTTTACTTATTTCGTTTTCAATGAATTCACTCCTCTCATGAGACACAATCATAGCTGCATCATCCGCTAATAACAAAAGCTTATTTGAACAAGCCATTTTCAAATCATTAATATATGTTAAAAAAAACAAATGGACCTAAAACACTGCCTCTTTTAGTCGTTTAGACGTTCGATATGCAGTCAAATATTTAGCCGAACAGATCAGGCACCTTTGACGCTCATAAATAATCACAAAGTCCTCGTGCTGCAAGTATCATGATGTTTGCTGAAGGTGTTGCTGACGTGCAGCGAGAGGTTTGCATCTTTAAAGGGCCATGAAACCCCCTCGTTTCAGCAGGGTGTTTTCACACCTCTACTTTGGAAAAAGTAAGAAAAGTGGGCGTGTCCAGCTCTGTTTAGGGGGGAGTGTCGGAGGAACTAAAGAGGGATGGTGTGGGAGTGTCTATTTGGGTACGCGCGAGTTTCAGAGTCAAAACACACACACACACACACACACACACACACACACACACACACACACATACATACACAACACACAAACACACACACACACACACACGGGAGACAGTGACGGTGTTTACATGGACATCTGTAGTCGAATTTTTTGTTAAATTACTAAATGGTGGACTTTAACTGCAGTTTGGCTCTTTCATTCAGGGAATTCATTCATGCCCCTCGCGACAAACGAGATATTTGATTCGAGGAACGGCTTTAAGCGTGTATTTTTCATGCAATGTTTGATACCGCACGGCGAATGAGAGAAAAAAACCCTCAGCATTTCCCGGAAACTTAGATGCACACGGCAGGTAGCGTCAGAAAGCCGCGTGTGTTATTCCGGTCACTAAATGCGGTAAAAACCCTACACGAGGTTAAAGTTTGGTTGTGGTGCTAACGTGTTTACACTCTGTGCTATAGTTAACTTAGTTCAATACGAACAAACTGAATAAACAAAGAGCACTGGTCGCTCACTTACCAAATCTGTACAGGACAATCACCAGCAACTAGAGCCGCGTCTTTATTAAGAGGAGACTACAAGCGAATCCGGATCTCAGCGTTTGCAGATGAGAACAGCTCTCAGGTAAACAATAATCCTCCTTAGACACGTAAGTTATTGTTGTCGAGCGTCGCGTACACTGTTAATCCACATGTGACTCCAGCTGAGCTCTCACAGAGAGAAAATGAAAACAAAACTGGACTGCAGCAGACTATAAAAGCAACACTTCACGCTTGTTTTGCCAACACAACGTGGCGTCTCTGTCGTCTAAACACTGTGACAGTAATGAATATTAATGAAGTTGCACAATAGAGCGCGCTGATTGGTTTGAACCAAGCCTTACTCATGCATTAATGCAACACACTGTTAGACGTAATAAGACACACTCTGGCACAGACGTCCAGTCTGCACGCTGGAATACACGCTATTATGTCATGACCGTGACGCAGCTTCAAAAATTTGTTTCAAACAGGAAGTACGAATTTGCTTGAAATAACGCAAAAACAACCAATTTACACTTTTTAGTGAAATATAGGTGTCCTAATAGTGTTTTTAGCAGTGTGGGACACATATACCACTGTCAACAGCTCAAACACATGTGCTTTGGTGTTTCGTGACCCTTTAATAAGCTTTGACAGCTTGCGTTCATTGAACAGTAAGAATGATTAATAAATCCATATGATGCAGTCCTGTAAAAGTCACGTCTCGTCTTCAGTTTCGAGCTCAGGTGCCCTTTGCACCCACACTACAAAAGCCCAAAGCCCAAGTGAATCACGCTCTGGCACACCTCAAACCGGGCCAGGACCGGCCAGTCTGGGAAACGGACCCAGGCACGGTTCGGATAGCATAGTGTGAGTGCACCTTTATAAACGCTACGGCCAATTTAGTTCAATTCCCCTATAGCGCATGTGTTTGGACTGTGGGAGAAACCAGAGCACCCGGAGGAAACCTACACCAACGCAGGGAGAACATGCAAACTCCACACAGAAATGCCAACTGCCCCAGCCGGGACTCAAACCAGCGACCTTCTTGCTATTAGGCGACAGTGCTAACCACCGAGCCACCATGCTGCCAAATGCCAAGTTTTACTCATGAAGATAAGTTTGTTGGTGTTTTTGTTTTTAAACTCGTAGTGACACGTTTTCGCTGACAGGCACAATGAATGAGGAAAGCCGTGTGGTAAAGGTCAGAGTAAAGATCGCAGTGAAATGAAGAACAACACAGAAAGACAAACTTTAGATGCAGATCAGCTCAGCGGACGCCCAGCGATCTATCAAACTAAATGAGACTTCAGAGGCATCACTTTAGCTGTCAGCCGAGCCAGAAAAGCAGCGTTTGTTGTGAATGATGAAGCTGGTGACTGAGGAGAAAGACTGCGTTCATTCATCGATCTGCAGACTCTTCAGATCCAATCATTTCACTCAAGACAGTTCAACTGAGGCCAAAGCAGATGCACACACATGCTAAACCGCTAACACTCAATAAGCTTGTATTAGTCAACGTTAGTTAATGCATGTACTACTGATAATAGTAGTAGTGTAACAGATCACAAATCTCACGGTTTGGATCACATTAAGGTTTTTTAATCATGGATCAGACCATTTTTCGGATCAGCCAAAAAGGATAGAAGACAAATCGTCACCTGAGAATTATAAGGTTCTCTCTGCGTTCTGAATGATTTTGAGATATTGGGCTTCAAAGTTTTTGCAATCCATATAGCAAACAGTATGTGTGTAACACTTCTCTTTCATACATTAACATTACAGAGACCCTAAGGGTACTCTAAATGTAAATTATCAAAGTTCTCTTACATTTGCAAATTGGAGTAAAAAAACAGGGTAAATGCAGATAAAACCTTCTCATTCTGAAATGTCATTTTCCACTTGGAATTATAAGGTTCTATCTGCCAGATAATTAATTGAAGCATTACTTTTCAAGAAATACAATCAAAAATATATAAATTGGGGTTGTAACAATATGTTGATGCTTGAGAAAGTAACATTTTTGCTTTCTATAACATTTATTTCATGTTTTAGAATAAATATTTTTTCTTGTTTAAATTAAGCATGCAAGACTGAGCTAATTTTTTTTTATTTAATCTAATTAATATGTTAATATTTATAAAAGTTTATGCTTTATATGAATTACTGAATTATATTTATTGAATTTTATGCCCCATGAATTAAAATAAATATTTGCCCTTCAAGGCTTAATATTGATTTTAAAGACTTTAAAAGAAACAGACGATGAGCAAATTAGTTTAATAAACACTGAAAAGTGTTTCACTGACTATATGGAGACAAATCAATATATTTCACATTTAATATATAAATTTTTTATTATTCATTTCTTTTTCAACAATGTAAAATTTATTATTTTATCTCAATATTTGTGTCGGTGACATATACGATCG